ATTGGTCAGCGCCAAGGCAAATTCGCTTTCGCGCATGCACTAAAATGTCCATGAATCGTGGAGATTTTCGCAGCCTTTACCAGGGTCTTCTCATTTTTCACGCGCCATGTACGAAGAAGACCCTGGGGACGAGGTTGTGAACGAAGTATAGGAGCAGGTCCTCCAGTTATTATACAGCTCAGTGGTTTTTCCGGACACTCGTTTGACTGACGGATAGATAGGAGCACGTCCTCCAGTAATATTATAGCTCAGTGGTTGGCAGGCGGTATTTCCTAAGTACCGCCTGCCATGCAGGCTATCTGGGAACGAGATCATTGCAACGAGATTGGGATGAGAATTAAATTAAAGATGGCTGTTAACGAAGTTGACTGTAGTGGGGCTTCTCGCCCTGTTTGGTTGGTCAAGGTACGTTTATTTTGCTTTGTATTTCAAACTCTTCATGTTTCATATTAGGAGGAGCTGTTTATCGCCTAAGTTGCAAGGCTACATAACGACTATGTCAAACAAAAGTATAAAACATTTTCAACAGTATATTAAATTTGGCCACTATTTGTTGTATATATTTAGTTTCTCATCCCTGCCCGCATGCTTTTGAAGAAAATTATATTGTTCGCCATTATTGCCATTTTTGACCATTATTGTAAATTTTGTGATGTATTCAAAGTGAAATTTGAAAGAAAGGCAATTTAGAAACCTTCCCAAACCAAATATTATAGTTAAAATACGAAATTTCATACCCAAACCAGGCCTTAAAATATCGGTCGGTCACAGACATTGTCCGACCCATTATAGTGAAATTGTCCGACGTACAGAGGAAACCACTAGACATTCTGTCCGACCTAAGTGAATCTGAGGTTTATTGTTTGTCCTAACCGAGTGTATTGGTGTCCGACCAAACTGTTGCATTGTCCAATGAGCGAAATGGTGAAGTGGAAAACGAACTTGAGTGTCAACATCTTACTGTTGTTATTGACATGCAAGTTAATTTTGGCTAGGAAATAAGTATGAATGACACAAATTATTTAATATCTTCACAACGTTTACTGTCCACAATTAATACAAATTGTGATGATATTAATGTGTGTCATTCAGACTTATTTTCTTAGCCAAACTGAACTGATGGTCATCGGACATAATCATACATATGTCCGACCCAAACTCAAAGTCATAAGACATTTTGTCAGACGGCCCTGTAAAAGATATGTATTAGGCCTGCCAAACTGCCAGTTTTTCCCGCATTAGGTAAACACTTATCCCCGAGCCAACGGTGTGGAGTGCCGTTCCGGGCGTTAGCCCAGGGCGAGGGTACTAATTCTGCCTGGCTATTTACACCCGGGGAAAGGAATGCACTAGCGAAGTCTAAAGTTCATCAAATACCTAACCTGAAGTTCAGGCCCTAATTTGAAATTCTAGACCGTGGGATGCCCACATGTTATTTTTAGACACAACATGCAATATGATTGACAAGTGTTGTAAATTTCGTTACACAAAAAAAATTATATTCTCATGAACATGTCCGCAGAGTGTGCATTTTGCTTTTTAATTAAATCTAAAAATTCAAGGTACTTTTATATAATTAAGAGTCAGTTTCTCTATTTAACTGAACAGCAAACAAAGATTTAATTATAGTAGCTCAGAAAACAATGCCGGTAGGACCTGATAGTAACAATAAGACTTTTGCCAGCGAAGCCAGTTGGCAGAACATCTTGGCTGTCAACAACAAGCTTTCGAATACATGACTAGTTTGGCTGTTCTTTCTGCGTTGTGTGTCCAAAATTCGTCAAAGATTTTGATAAAGCCCTTTCAAAATACTGTTTGTTTGATTTATTTTCTGCCATAAAGCATAAAAGAAAAGAAATTCGAAGAAATCGATAATGGAATTTGTTACTTGCGTTTGACCTTTATATTAATTGTCGCCTTGAGCCCTTGACCGAGCTATTTTTAAAACTGTTGTTTATTTGAACTTGCAACCAATCAAAATCCTTCATGATGCTGATCAACCAATCAGATTTCCCGTCCACCAGATGGACTGGAATCCCACAGTTTAGATAGGTTTTGTGTCAGGCCCTATTCTGTGATTAGGGCCTGAACTTCAGGTTATCAAATACCGTGGGTGCATGGCTATGATCCAAGGGTGGACTTCCTCACTGATCTAAAAAATATGGCTGTTTGCCAGGAGTGGGATAAGCACACTGAGTATATTGAAGCAAGATTTCAATTTTCAAAAGCATATATTGGGTCATTCCAGAAAACATCCATACCACCCCCACGGAGGAAATAGGAAGTTAACCCCCTACCACCTTCGGATGTCCTAATACATTCAGGGGCGGCGCTAACCCTCTTCGAGTGGGGGGGGGGGTAATATTGGGTAATATTTGGTAATATTGCCGAGTCATTAGCCTATAGTAAATGTGCATGTTTAAGGGGCGGACCAATTCAGACTGTGCAAGAATTTTTTTTCCGCCCAGGCGAACAAAACAGATATTTTTTTCCTGTAAAAGTGCAGCGCAAGATTTTTTTTCCTAATATATTTCGCGGCAGGATATTTTTTTTGCGCTTTCATATAGCTATCGTCAGAGACGTAGCCAGGGTTTTCAGTCAGAGGAGGCCGAGAACTGAATTCCAAGAGGGGCCAAGGAATTTTCATTGTGCTTTATTTTATATGGTTATGTCTTAATGTTCCCCACACTAAAGCGTGTAGGTTTACTTGCAAAAAATGTATAACTACACCAAAACCTAAAACATGCAGGGATAGAGTAGAGTACTCGAAAATGGGGGAGGTACAGTATATGAATGACCTGTAACCTTGGGGGCTTCAGGGGCATGCTCCCCTGAGAAAATTTTAAAATTTGAACCTCGGAAATGCTATTTCCTGCGTTTTCAGCCATGGATTCGTCCAACAACTTTGCTGTACTAAGCCTAAGGAACACTTACTGTCCTTTATTTTAAACAAGGGAAAATTACAAAATGAGCTTTGATTAATATGTAATAAAACAAGATTTCAATAATGCGATTTTTAACTGACCTCCGAAACAACAATGTTCCATCAAATATAGCTCTGTAGCTTTTCAAGTGTTCATACAGATAGCTTGTTGGGGATCGGGTTGCATCCTCTTCAGAAATTTTTTAAAATCTAGACTCTCTAAACTGGCATTTTCGCATTAAAATCATCGTATATGCAGTACGTTCAACTTGCATCCTGTAGATGGGCCTTTGAAGCTTTAATAGTTTGGAGCTATGTTATCAAAAAACGCACACAGACTGAACCATCCAAAAATACTTTTTCTACCATGCATATTAGATACTGTATGTATAAATAACTTATAAACTTGTACATATCTTAAGCCCAGATTTTCTCAGGAGGGGGGGGGGGCAACAATTTTGCCAGGGAACGCCACTGGCTATCGTATGTTATAGGCTCCAAAGGCGGTAGAATCCCTGTGATGTTGTCCACTGTTCACCCCGTGTTCTTTTAAGCAAATATGCCTGCTCAAAAATGCAAAATCTTGCAAGCCTGTGAACACAATACTGAAGTGAAGAACGTTGAGCGCTCTCTTTTGCATGATATTTTTTTTCTCGATTATATGCTGCATGATTTTTTTCTTTCTCCTCATTGGATTGCAGGGAATTTTTTTCGAAATCTTCCAACCCCCCGAACTCAAAAATCAAATGGTCCGCCGCTAAATGCGCTTTATTACCCTCTATTAAGCCGGTTTTTCACTAGCGAATTTTGCGCGCGAAGCGACCTTTTTCCTTTGTCGGCATCCATATTATGAAGCCCTCGAAAACCGTCAAAATTGAGATCGGAAAAAAAGGGCCGACCTAAATCTGACCTAGGTCGGCACGTCTCGGCATTTCTTAAAATCTGTTTCACGTCTTGGAGCACTATTAATCACGCATTTACGAATCATTGAAATCAGAATATAACTGGAACGTTACCTCCAGCCGGAAAATTCGAAAGTTGAAGCCAAATTTTAACTCCAGACGCGCGAAATTTGATCTTCAGACACCTAACGTATATACACAATATCCGTCTTTTAAAAGTTGACGGATATTGTGTATATACGTTAGGTGTCTGAAGATCAAATTTCGCGCGTCTGGAGTTAAAATTTGGCTTCAACTTTCGAATTTTCCGGCTGGAGGTAACGTTCCAGTTATATTCCGATTCCAATGATTCGTAAATGCGTGATTAATAGTGCTCCAAGACGTGAAACAGATTTTAAGAAATGCCGAGACGTGCCGACCTAGGTCAGATTTAGGTCGGCCCTTTTTTTCCGATCTCAATTTTGACGGTTTTCGAGGGCTTCAAAATGGATGCCGACAAAGGAAAAAGGTCGCTTCGCGCGGAAAAATTCGCTAGTGGAAAACCGGCTTAATAGAGGGTAATAAAGCGCATTTAGCGGCGGACCATTTGATTTTTGAGTTCGGGGGGTTGGAAGATTTCGAAAAAAATTCCCTGCAATCCAATGAGGAGAAAGAAAAAAATCATGCAGCATATAATCGAGAAAAAAAATATCATGCAAAAGAGAGCGCTCAACGTTCTTCACTTCAGTATTGTGTTCACAGGCTTGCAAGATTTTGCATTTTTGAGCAGGCATATTTGCTTAAAAGAACACGGGGTGAACAGTGGACAACATCACAGGGATTCTACCGCCTTTGGAGCCTATAACATACGATAGCCAGTGGCGTTCCCTGGCAAAATTGTTGCCCCCCCTTGAGAAAATCTGGGCTTAAGATATGTACAAGTTTAAAAGTTATTTAAAAACCTTACACCGTAGTGTGTTCAGTTAATCAAACTATGAATCGAATTCTATATTCGCTGACTTTTTAACAGCTAACATCACCAAAAAATTCTTACTTTGGTTGAATGGACCATTTGCATTATAGACTAAATTTTGATCTAGACAGAAATTTCATCACAGCTTGAAAGAGCAGCACAAAATTAGTAATATTCCAAAGTTTCGTTGCGAAATGTTGTAAAATGCGGATAATATAGCCTTGCGAAAATTTCGCAAGGCTATATTATCCGCATTTTACAACATTTCGCAACGAAACTTTGGAATATTACTAATTTTGTGATGCTCTTTCAAGCTGTGATGAAATTTTTGTCTAGATCAAAATTTAGTCTATAATGCAAATGGTCCATTAAGGTCGGCAAAAATTTGCCGACCTTGGAATGCCGGCCTCGTTTTCGAGGACTGATTTTGCCACGTCTTGCTGACGTAATAAGTGATACCGACAAACCAGGTGATCTCGTGTTCGTATTTTAGCCAATCAGCGCGCAGAAAGGGTTGTCCGAATAGAAATCTATTTTGATGTATTCAGTCAATTATATCTTTCGTTATTCTTTATGAAACTAGTTGAAATTTTGTAATTATGTTTGGTTATGAGAACTATAGCTCTGACAAAAATATGGAATCGAAATAAAGTATATTACAGGAGATATTCAGTTGTTTTAATCACAAAATGGATTTCTATTTGACAACTAGTGCCAGTACTTTTCCGCGTATCAAGATCATCTGGAAGGAATCGCTTCGTGCGAAAAAATTCGCTAGTGGAAAACCGACCGCTTTATTGCCTCTTTTATAGAACTGTATAATAAGCAACAACAACTGAACAACAACAACCAAACAAATTTAATTAGAAAGAATTTGCATTGCTGCATGTGTGGTTTCTTTGATGCATGCTAGTCGTGATATTCGGTTTGAATTCAATTATTCAGAAGTCCATTTTGGTTTCTTCAGTGGTTATCTTTAGTCAATTCAGTTTTGCCGACTGAGATAATAATTTGCCGATTTGCTGACGAGTGGGGGGGGGGGTGTCCCCCCCCTCCCCAACACACACACCCTGTAGCGCCGCCCCTGAATACATTTACTATTATCAGAAACAATTTTTTCTTCCCTCCCCCTCAGGACGGCAGAATTTCCTCCGTGGGGGGTATATGGATCTTTTCTGGAAAGACCCATTTGGAAAATCACGTTTCACACAATGAGCTTTGAAGCAATTTTTGTTTTAAAAAATGAGAATTATTGATTTACTATTTAATATCGTGAAATATAGGGCAAGTTCGCTTTGAATGTTTAATGTTTATGATTATGAATTTTGTTGCTTTAATAATTTATAAATTTATTGCGTAAAACATGCACTGCTGTTTTCCTTTTCAAAGAAACTGTAAGTTTCCTAAATTACCCTCGCTGTTTAATTTAAGAAAAAAAAGGTAAATGTAAAGGTGAGCAAATTGATTTGAGCAATTTGGACATCGTTCTGGACCAAATAGTGAAAATTGGGTAATCGTTCCATGTTTCGCGCACCAATATAGTAAACGTTATGTAATGGATATTATAGTGTATTGAAAAGTTCACTAGATACCTCCATACACATAGATACACACCCTAACCCCAACCTTAAACCTAACCCTAACCTAACCCCTAATACCTAACCCCTAACCCTAACCTATATTGGTGCGCGAAACATGGAATGATAACCGAAAATGGCGTATCACTTTTCCAAACGATGTGCAAAAAAGATCAGACTTGTGACTGTTAAGGAACATCTGTCTGTCCATATTTATCGATCTGTTGTCTTTATATAATTTATAAACAAGCGCTTTTGCATGCACACTAGCAGCATGTTTGCAAACTGGAAGGTGTCAAATTTTAGCCACCATGACAGACAAACACATTCAGACAAAGATTGCAAACAATGTTTAAAAAGTATTCAAATAATTAAATTATTGCAATTTGAATGAGTAGATATTTGACTGAGTAGCTAAGACAATCATGAACATATTTTTGTATCTGCGAAGCAGATATATTGCTGTCGCAAACGTGCCGTTAATGTTACCCATAGCCATTCAGCGACGAGCTTATATAATTGAGCCAATTCATGATATTTTAAGCCAATCAGCGATTAGTTTACATCAATTGTTTACATTGTGCCCGCATCTAACCTGCGAACGGGCATCGTTTGCGGGATTCAATCATGAATATTCTTTGCCATTTTCACATTTTGGCTAAAAAATATCTTGATGTTAATCTTGAATTGGCTGTCTTGTTTTCATGATTCTACTTGCGATATTATTCCTTAGTCATCTATCAACACGGGAACTTATCCTCGTCTGGTAAGTAGACTAATACCACATTTTATTATCCACATTTATACTGTATTAAAAACAATCATTGTGTCAAAACATATTAAACAGGCAATATTGCAATGAACCATATCATAGGAAACTAATGTTCACAGATATTGAATTAAACCCTGGTCCTGTATTTCTGTAACTCTGTTCAAAACAACAGTCCAACTAAGCTGTTGTCTAATGGGCTCTTCCAATTATTATCCGCACCCCCCTGTTGAGGAACCCCTTTCTCACGTCGGTACTCCCCTGGAATTTCCGCAAATTTTCATGTAAAATTTACCCCATCCCATGGAATTTCCTTGTAAAAATTACCCTTCCCCATGGAATTTCCATTTTAAATTAGGCCTTCCCTTGGAATTTCCATTCAAAATTTGGCCCTGTCCATGGAATTTTCATGTGTAAATTACCCCTCCCTATGGAATTTCCATCATGGGACATTTACTCCTGGAAATTTCTGTCGAATACAGTATGTGTCCTCCCATAAATTTACTCTTCCCTCTGGAAATCCTATGTGAGAATTACTCCTCCCCTTGGAATTCCAGAGCCTGGATGCCCCCTTCCCTGGAATTTCCAGGGTTAATGCACCCCCTCCCCTGGAAATTCCAAGGTTAATGTTCCCCCTCCCCTGGAAATTTGAAAGTTAGTGCACCTTTCCCCTGGAAATTCCAAGGTTAATGCACCCTCTCCCCTGGAAATTCCAAGGTTCCTCAACAGGGTGTGTGTGTGTGGGTGAGTGGGTGCGGATAATAATTGGAATAGCCCAATGTAGTGTTGGAGCAAAGGTTAAGATGTTATCAGTTAAAATACTTATACATTTTGGTTTTACACATTAGACTATTAGAGTTTCAAAATTAAACAAAATTTTTACAAACATTTTCAAATGCTAATAAAAGAATCCCCACCCTCCTAGGACTGTTCGGTATACCGATATACCGAAAATATCGGTATTAAATCAATATCGGTATATCGATACCGGATATTCAACCATACCGATATACCGAAATTTCCGATATACCGGAATTTTTCGGTATACCGTGTTAAATTTACCAACTATATGGCGAAACCATAACCTTTATTTTACTACTGAATGGCAATTCAAAGAACTTTCTACTGCAATGATTTAGAATTTCCACTTCAGTGAGATTTTACACTGAGTACGTCTCGTTCGAAACATGTTCGAAACAGCTTCGAAATTATCGTTTTTCCTTTTAGAATTACTCAAAATTTCCTTCAAAGAATTTTCCTTTATAATTATCAAAGGCAAACCGGTATACCGATAATATCGGTATAATTTTTTCGGTATACCGATACCGGAAATTTCTCATACCGAACATTGCTACACCCTCCCTCCTCATTACATTGTCATTTTGCTTTCTGCCATAAATGTTTTTGTTAATACAAGAATGATGAATAAGCTGGATATTGGTTAGATAATTTTGTCAGAACAACCCACTTGCATTAGTATGAAAAATAACTTAACAGCTACAATAATCATATTATATGGATGGATCAGATCGATGGCACACAATGTACAAAACTAAATTTGTGATACCTTTATTCAAACCGATATTCCCCCACAACAAAAATTGTTTTTGTGTGGATATGCTGTGTTAAAGTGAACAGTCACGTGTGGTATATCATTAACTGTGCACAGGATTGGAATTGAATTATATACTTCACTCATGACCTTCAAAACATTCTCTACTAATCAGTGGTCTTCAATATCTGATGATGATGATTTTATTGATCCATCTGTAATGTTCGTGGTTTTGTATCAATATCAAGCACTTTTAAGTATAACAATAGATGTCAAACAACTTGTACAAACAGCATAGTACGTATCCAATTACTTCCCGGTTCCCTAGCCTCGTGCTTCTAAAATACTTAACTAACTTTCTAGTCACGTGTGTGCTAGTGTCAATAATGTCAACATTGCATCCCTCCCT